GTGTCCTCATGTCTTCCAGTGTCCCCATGTCACTAGGAAACTAGTTGGGAGACATTGGGACAGCGTGAGACATGGGGACACTAGGAACACAGACACTTGGGGACATTGAGATACATGGGGACACAGATACTACAGGACACAGAGACACCAGGGACACTGGCTAGGAGATTAGGGGCCAATGGGAGACTAGGGGCAACTATGCCCCTAGTGCCTCAGTGTCCCCATGTCCCACAGTGTCTCAGTGTCCCCATGTCTCACAGCTACCCCTAGTGTCTCAGTGTCCACAGGTATCCCAGTGCCCCCTAGTGTCTCAGTGTCCATGTGTCTCACAGTGTCTCCATGTCCCACAGTGTCCCCTAGTGTATCAGTGCCCCCTAGAGTCTCAGTGTCCCCAGGTCTCTCAGTGCCCCCTAGTGTCCCCATGTCTCCCAGTGTACCCTAGTGTCTCAGTGTACCCTAGTGTCCCCATGTCTCCCAGTGTTCCCTAGTGTCTCAGTGTCCTCATGTGTCCCCTAGTGTCTTAGCGTCCCCATATCTCACAGTGTTCCCCAGTGTCCCTATGTCTCCCAGTGTCTCAATGTCCCCTAGTGTCCCTATGTCTCCCAGTGTCCCCTAGTGTCTCAGTGTCCCCAGGTATCCCAGTGCCCCAGTGTTCCCAAGTGTCCCTATGTCTCCCAGTGTCCCTATGTCTCCCAGTGTCCCTATGTCTCCCAGTGTCCCCTAGCGTCTTAGTGTACCCTACTGTCTCAGTGTCCCCATGTTTCACAGTGTCTCCAGGTATCCTAGTGCCCCCTAGTGTCTCAGTGTTCCCAAGTGTCCCTATGTCTCCCAGTGTACCCTAGTGCCTTAGTGTCCTCGGGTATCCAAGTGCCCCCTAGTGTCTCAGTGTTCCCAGGTATCCCAGTGCCCCCTAGTGTCTCAGTGTTCCCAAGTGTCCCTATGTCTCCCAGTGTATGTGTCCCCAAGTGTCCCTATGTCTCCCAGTGTCCCCTAGTGTCTCAGTGTACCCATGTCTCACAGTGTCCCCATGACTCACAGTGCCCCCTAGTGTTTCAGTGTTCCCAGGAGTCCCTATGTCTCCCAGTGTCCCCAAGTGTCTCAGTATACCCATGTCTCCCTGCTGCCTTACCTGAGCTGTAGGCGGTCTCTGCAGGCTGGGAGCTGCTCTCTGGACTCTCTGTGCTGTGTAGCTGCTCCCCCGTGGATTAGTGAGTAGAGTGAGGCAGGGAGGGAGATGCTGTAACTTCCTATCCCTTCCTCTCTCTACACACACAGTGACCCCTACTGACCGGCTCTGTATTGCAAAATAATCTCTGTTTACAGTGCAGAGACTGACATTTGTATTGCCGGTATCACTGCAATACCAGCACTGGCTAGGCAGCCTCAAATAGCGGAAAAATACCGGCCAGGTGGCAACCCTAAGAGTAGTGTGTAAAATAAATAAATTGAAAAAAAGTAGGTGAGTACTAACATGAAAGCTCCCAAAGCATAGAAATGCATAATACATTATAAATTTACTTTATGAGCTGTAATATTCTAAAGTGAACCTGGCATGACATGAATTCTTCCATGAATAAACCAAGTACCATTTAACTGTGTAATTAAAATAAAACATTCAAATTCATAACTTTGCTAACCCACTAAAAGATGGAATATTTGAGAAAGAGCCATGTGGCTATGCATCTTCCTGTATCCCACCACAAGTTGCATGTGTCAATTTGTACTGTTTTGTTTACTTGGCAACATTCATGCCTGAGCATAAAACCACATTACAGTATAACACACGCACATGTTACTAGTATATAATAAAGCATGTATTGTGGTAAGAGATTTAAAAAAAAAAAAAAAAATAATAATCAAGATTTATTCACTAAACAGTTAATTGTAGTGCATTCAATACCGAATTGCAAAATTTAGGCCAATATTGTTCATTTGAAAAATGCACCAACTCTGCTCCAACACAGCTTGAGTATTTAAGCCTGCATTTTGCAATTCAGTTTTCATTACACTACAATTCCATGTTTAGTAAAGATACTTACTAGCCTTCCTCTTCCCGTAAAGATATATAACATCTAAATGAAGCCAGTAATTTGTGAAATAATTGTTAGTAATAACTACAGCATCACTCCTATAAAGCTGGATTTTATTGCTTCAGTTAAATAATTAACATTAACCTATAGAATATAAGGCTCAATCTCAAGCAAGACTACTAAAGAATCTTACTTTTCGTTATTGTAGGCACCAACATATTCTGCAGTGCTGTACAAAGATAAACATTAAAACCTGTTATAAACAGGTTCACTTTAACAGTTCCTCTTTGGGCAAATAAACCATTTCTACATTCCTTGATTTATACTACCATACTAGAGAAAATAAACATGAACTAGATTAAAGAATAGTATACTTCTATGATTTGTTTTTTTGTTTTGCTAAACAGTTCATAGTTTTGAGTAGGTTAAGTGGAGATTTTATTCCAATGAGACCATTTGTACCAACAATTTTATATTCACATGAACTATTTAGTGAGTAAAACCATTTTTCCATTGCTAGTAATGTATATTCCATTTTTGTGTATACAGATAAAGGAATATGTGATGGTTAAAAAAAAAAAAAAAAAAAATCTTCAAAGCTAAGTCAACAGCGCAAGCCTAAACGGGAATCTTTCTAGCAGACCATTCACATTCCACCTGAATCTAGAAAAGCATCCAAGCTAGGGCAAGCCCAGACACAACAGTTTGAGGTTTCAGAGGAAAATATGCTATGGTATTTCTCATTGACAGGCCCCCTCAACTCATCCACATAATAATACATCATTTGCTATTGCTTAAACAATGGCATTGTATCTTGCTAGCAAAGGTTGAATTTCCTCTCACAAGAGGCTAGTATGTGACTGCAAATATAGACCAAATTGTTACATAAAAAAGGTATTGTAATGAATTGACAGAAATTCCAAGTGAATGCACAGTGAATTAAAGGGACACTCTAAACACCCAGACCACTTTTGCCCATTGGAGTTGTCTGGGTGCCAACTCCCACCACCCTTAACCCTGCAAGTGTAATTATTGCAGTTTTTATAAATTGGTATTGTGTTACTTTTTCACTTGCTGCAAGCTCAGCCGGCTGTGTGGGCTATTAGAGCCAAAGTATTTTTACATTACAATTTACTTTATGTTTGTTTTAATATTTTTTCTTAATTAAAGGGGCAGTGTTGGCACCATAACCACTATAACATGTTATAGTGATCATAACAGCAGGTGTCCACTGGCTCAATTTCCAAACTGTTTGATACCTATCTAGGCCAACTGAGTACCTCCAGTCCAACACTAATGCAGAAATTCCTTTCTATATCAGTGACATCAATTCTGCACATCTTTGGATTCAGTTGGTACTCTCACGCCAATTAAAGTTCCTCAAAATTATTTACAATATTGATAAATCTGTTGTAAAATGTGAATTTCCAATTTAGATATATAGGAAAAGGAGGCAGGTAAAGATCGTAGCATTCGATAACATCGTATCTATGCTGTCTAGACTGAACTTCTGTGCAAGTCCTATATGTTTCACTGTGGTCTATATGCTTATACATTAGTCACCCCACTTATTTAGGGCAATAGCAACTGCATTTGTAAGCATATATTATCATTTAACATTGATTTTAGGTGTGGTTTAATTTACATAGTAATGGGGTCTTAATTCTTCAAAGGTGCAGTATCCATGGACCACAAGTGTTTGGAAAATGTTCACTGGGATACTGTAAGGCTTTCAATAACATTCCATAACTCTGATGCGTCATAGTTTCGCTAACTATATACAGGTTATATGCCCTTCTAGTGCTGGGCAGATTGGGTACAGCTTTTGTATGTAATATGTCTTTGGCTAGCACAATATATAGATTAAAGGAGACGCACTATAAAATATGACTCATTCATAACTGTCATGACAGGGTCCCTTTATTGCTAAGTCTTACATTGCATCATTGCAATCTCCATTTTTTTTTATTTTTTTTTATTTCTTTTTTGTGACCACACTGAAAACTGTATGTGTGCCCTGTGAGATTTCATAAGACAGAACAGGAAATGGGCAATGTGGAAATGTGGAATTTGTGGATAACATACACACTACCTAGTTTCACAACCTATTTCCTTTGTATTTCACATTACTTCATCCTCTTGTTTTTTTTGTCAACGTAAAGAAGATTGTGTTTGGGAACATGCAGTTGTCTTTACAATTGCAACTACCAGGATAATGTGTGATATAGTCAGATACCACCTGCCAAGAACAATACTACCTAATGATGAGGAAAGCACCCATTATAGAACGAAGTTCCCTATCAGAGGAAGATCCTTGGTTCATGGCCCACTTCTTACTCCGCTACACTTACTGCTTTAAACTGCAATATTTATATATAAGAATACTTTGCATAACACCAGTTGCCAATGCCTGCAATTGCATTGTAGAATATGGTTCCTGAAGGATTGAAAG